TCTTTAATCCTTGCTGTGCCTTTCAGTTATCTCTTGAAGAAAGTCACACAATAATTTTTGGAAATGTGAAACTTTAGAAAGGAAAGTTTAGAAGAAACACTCAAGAGTAAATTCTACCTTTCAATAATTATTTTTTGAAGCTTTGTCACATATAGAGAACTTATACACACATATACAGAACTTATACATACATATACACATATATGCGCACGCACGTGCGCGCGCATGCGCGCGCGCACACACACACACACACATTATGTCATTATTATTCAGAAAGTCAGCTGTTTTTTGAGTAACATGGAGGGAAGTTTTGATATCAGCCTGAAGTGCTTTTATGTAGTATACCCTGTTATGATTTTCTTACCTACTGAGGAATGTTTTCATGACCTCATCCCATACCTGACCTCACCTGAGGCTGAAATGGGACCAGCTCCAAATAAGCTTCACAAGCCCCTTACCTTATATTTATTATATCACTTTATTGTACTGTTTTGCATCTAATGTTTGTTCTTCTTTCTCTCCATGCTATGGCTTCTTTATGGCAGGGTTTTTGTATGATGTGTCTTAATGTCCCATCATGGATGTATATCATATATAAACCTATTAAGAAGAGCAAGAGGATGATTAACCCAATATTTCAGAGTTTGTTACCTTAAGTTGGGGGGGGTGGGTAACAGTGGGAGGTGATGAAAAGATCTATGTAAGTAGATATGAATTATTATCAATTCTCTAATTTCTTTCTTGGACAGTAAGCTGATGTGTGTTTATAATAATATTTAAAACCAAAGGGGTAAGCAGGCAAGCAAGTTATAATTGAACCAATGTGGTGTAGCATAAACCAAAGATTATTATTAGCTAAATTTTGGGCTTCTGAGGCTGGGGAAATATAGTCAGTTATGAGCCTTCCATCTCTTAGTCTTGCTGAAGATTTCTTCCTTCTATTCCAGAGCTCTGTGCAAACTTTTTCTCCAGCTCTAGATCCCTTCAATCAGCTCAGACTAAAAGCTGCCATGTGAAGCTCACTGTAGAACTTACTATAATGAGACAGAGAACCAGAAATGATAGTTGGAAACATGGGTCCCACCTGGGGTCAGGGAAAGACTATCTAAGGAAACTTTGTAGCTCAAGTGCATTGCTTGATGATTATAATTCACATGTATTGTGACCTTTTCTTTTTCCAAAAGGTCTTGGCAAATTGTTTTGGAGATAAATCTCTGATTATCTTGGTTCTAAGATAGATATTACCTAATTTTGGGTTCTCCATAATGTACTAGCTTGAGTGTTCTGGTGCTGAATGTGCGACGTGGTTGTTATTTTGAGTTAGAAAGGTATGCTTAATCTTAGAAGGGATCAATAATAAAAACTACTAGAAAATAAAAGGTCTGATATTTCCATTTCTACCGTTGCCTTTGTTGTTTATATTTTTAATAGGGAAAGCTTCACAGTATAGAAAAATGCATAGGGATCAAAACAATGAACTACATATCCTAAACACCCAACTTTAACAAAACTCAAATTTTGCCTTTTTTGTTTCAGTTCCTGCCTTGAAAAAATTGACTGCCATAGATAACAATTAAAGCCCAAGCTGCTTCTCTTTCCTCTTTTCCTTAAGAAACCTACTATCCTAAAGAAACTATTATTCTCATGCATGTTTTTAGAATTTCACCATACATGTTTTATAAAAATGGCACGATTCTTTCGCGTGTTTTAAAACTTTGTATCTGTTGTTATACTTTTCTATCATTTTGCAACTGACCTTTCGCAGCTAACGTTATGTCTTAGAGTTTTACACTCCATGCATATTGTTTTGACTTCAAATGCTGTATAGTGTGAATAAAACACAAGTTAAAATATATATGTACAGTTGTAGCACAATACTTAACTGAATTACCTATTCTTCATCACCAAAGAATACCATCACTGTTATACACCACAATTTCTACAAATTGTTAGTTTGTTGGGTCTGTCCATTTACGTATCTGCATGTCCATTTAACCATGTATTAGGCCACAAAAAGAATCTTAAAAAAACTTCAAAGAACTAACCTCACAGAGATGAAATTCTCTGGCCAGAATGCTGCTAAATTAGAAACTGGTAATGAAAAGATAGTTTAAGAAAACATGTTTGCAAACTAAGACTGCATTGCAAAATGTTACTTAAAGCCTTAACGAAAGCTTGAGGGAAGGGCCAAGGGCAACGCCTGCCAGTGTATGGAGAAAGTTAGAGAAGACTGCATTTATCAAATTTGTTGGAATAAAAATGTATGAGTTTTCCTTAGACTAACTTTCCTTGGACCCAAGGATGGTACATGAGCTGCATCATCTTGAAAATCATTCCACCTAAGAGAACTTCTTGCTAGAGTAAGGCAATCCTAGAAGAAGCTTAGAATGGTGCAGTCCTATGTCCAATGTAAGGGAGAGGCCTCTAAGGGATCAGACAGGGTTTAAATTAGTCTTATCTGGGAAGAATGTTTTCTTTCCCATTTATTTATTTTATTGCATTTTAGGTTTTGGGGTACATGTGAAGAACATGCAAAATTGTTGCATAGGAACAC